GCCAGTCTCTTTAACTTCTTCCCCAAGGTGGGAAGCAGCGCTTAAAAACACTTCTAAAAATGTGAAATCACTGATCTTAAAATCATAATTTATGAACTACCTCTCCCTTTAAGAATTTCATGGTCACAGTACCATTATCATTATTTTCCAATAGATTAGACTGTATGGTTCCTTGCTAACATTTATTTTGAAAATACAAATCTTTATTTATGTTATCTTTATTTTGAAACTATTGGTTTGCCTTTCCATTCAAAATTCCTTTCTTTTAAAAATAATTATCTTTCTGCCTTCTTCTGATCAGCTTTTAGTGGTCATACTCTGTCACAGCCCTGTCAGATCCTCTAACACAAAACCCTTCAAACAGAAGGAGCAGCTACACCTATTTTAAACTTCGCCCATGATGGCTTGCCCAAATCTGGAATTTTTACCACTAATACTTGGATACAAAGGGGGTTTTTTTGACAGGCTCCTCAGAAGTGAGGATCACATTTTCCTTTCTGTTCAGTGTTGTCCTCACACAGGTACAGACATCATAACTCATAGCTGGGATCCAGGGCAGAAACCTCCCCTGCCTGGGATAGATGAACAACTCCACCAGGGGCAAGCAGAGGAAATGTTTACAGCCCCAAGGGAGAACCATGGCAATGTGCACTACAGGGTCCATTGAAAATATCCTGTGACAATTATTAGTGCCTTTTCAAGGTCCAGACTTGGGAATTACATAGGAATCCTGTGATACTGAAGGGAGAATTTTTAAAAATTCTGTTTACATTATGGTTTATTCTGCTGTTGTTCTCAAGAGCTGCAGTTGGTGATCCCTAAAAATGGTCACATTACCAGGAGAGAAGGTCCATGCAGCTGTGTGACTGCAGGCACAAATTTGGTATGTGAATGCACAAGTTGCCTTTTAGGTGTGTAATTCATGTAGGCAACTGTGTACTTTGGGACATGAGTCATGCCACTTACTCATGTCTTTTTATATTCCCACCCCATGCCTCTTCCTTATATTGTAGCCTTGTTTGAGTGTGTGAGCCCTGGCACATATCAATAAGCATTCAGGAGAATACCCATGCTCTAGAATTTGATTTCATTTCCAGCAGCACCTTTTCAGAACATTAAAATAAGTTGCATAGTACAGTGATATTATATTTTTGTGTCCATTTGAATGTGTTTCCTTAGTGAAGTGACACATTGGGCAAAACACATGACACAAAATGCTGTGATATAATTGCCATTAAGGTAGAACTCACTGTGTCACTGATCAGCTTTTCCAATTAACCTGTTTTGCTTTGTGCAGAGTTAAGTCTGTATCGTCCTTTTGTGAGGCACAATTTAATTTTCCTACAAGCAAATTTTAAAACACCATGTAAGCTAATCTTTACACTTCCCTTGTTAGTATACAAGTATTATATTCTGTTAGTAGGGTCAAACGGTGAATTGAGTTAATTGGGGGTTTTTGCATTTGTTTTTTCCTTTGGTTAGTCTCAAATTTGCAGCATCGGTAATTTAAAACTTCAGGAATAAACTCCTGTTTCAAACCTGTGTTTAGTTCTCCGTGCAGTGTGTTCTGTAGTGACTTTTTTCAGCATAATGTTCAAGTATTTTGAGATTAAGTTGGAAAAAGGAGCATGTTGTGTGCATGTTGTTGTAATGCTGATAAATCAGAACCAGCGGTCTCATGTGAAGTTAAGCTTCATGGAAACCTTTGGGGTGGTGTAGCTACTCCTTCCTTGCTCACATTTGGTTTTGCACTTGCCATGAGAACACTGTACACGGTGGCAATGAAATGTCAGCCCCAGCAGCCCTGGCCCTGAGCTACGTGCCATGGCTGAGCACAGAGCTCTGCGCTGACATTTCGTGCATTGCAGGGAGAGCTTCCTCCTGCAAGGGAGGCTCACATTCAGCACGGCACTGCCATCCCCCGTGCCAAATTCAGCATCCTAATCCACTCACTTGACTGCAGCTGAATGTAAGAGAAGTTTGGCTGCACACTGAGCACTGAAACAGAGGAATGCTTTCATTTGGCAGCCAGGGAGAAAAATCTTTATTAATCTTGCAGGGTTTCAGAGTTCTGAAAAATCTGTGATTAGTTGCAGGTCTGGTCTCCTCAAACAAAGCAGCATAAAATGCAACTTTTAGGCTTTGTATGCTTATGTTAAAGAATGTTTTCATGGAAACCTTATGACATACAGCCTGTTTTTAGAACATTAAATCCTCATGACACTTCCAGCATAGCTGTGTATGCCAAACCATGCAATGTGATTCATCAGTAAAATTAACCTGAGAGTGATGTGCCAAACAGTTTGGAAAAATGTAGGCACCTCTGAACTTGAGGGGAAAAGGAGTGCTCTCCTCACAGAGAGGAGTAAATGTCACACCTACTATTACTCATAGAAGGAGCATGAGAAGGAGGTCATCACACACTTTGGAAGTACACCCTGCATTTCTCTCAAGGTTTGTTTCTAGCCCACAGTGCAGTCAGAGCAAAGCAACCAGCAGGAATTGCAGCAGTGCTCTGTTATTGCCAGCTGAGGTTGGAGCTAGCTGAGGCACACATCCTGTGCTGTCACACTGAAAAATGAGTCACTTCTCACACACATTTCTAGACAGGTTGGCCAAATGAGCTTCCTCTGAATGGTGGGCTTGTTACATTTACCTTTAAGAACATTTGGGTAGGTCTCTCTGAATTCAGCCCAGAGGACTTGGCTTTCCATGTCCTGGTGTTTCAGATCAGTTCCCCAGTTCTTCCCCTGCTCCACCATCTAGTTTTCTTTCCCTCAGTGAGCCCTTGTGCTGGATAGTTATGTACCACACCTGTAATGCTTTATCATTGCCATGCTTTGGTAATTTGATAAATAACCAAAATGGTATTTTGACCCTGATCCATCACAAATGTCATTTACACCATCTTTTACATCAATTTGGTTTAGTACTACCTTGCTTTCAAACATGGTATCTGCCCTTCATATTTTCCAGTCCTTTCTATCCCTGTGATCAGCTTCTTTCTAAATATCCTGTCTCTAATTTCTCTCTTGTAATCCCCATTACATCAGTCTGCTCCTGGTGTTGACTGATTAACTGCATTGCAGAGCTTGCTGAATCCTGTTCTTGTTTCACAGTGCTCTGGATTCCCACAGTGACTCCCACTTTGTCATTGTGTCTAATATATGCATTTAAGGCCCTTGGGATCCCTTTCTGTGCTTCAGAAGTCCATTTCAAGTCAAAGGTCATTGAGATTTCTTTCAGCAGTTGCTACCTTGCCACTTGGTCCTTTCCTGGGACTGCTGATTTTTTAATTTCTTTTACCTATTAGAATCCTTCTGCCCTTGCCCAGCTCCACAAACACTGAACTCACTCACCATAAACCTTGGAAAACTCTTACCCCCCAAGCAAGACATTTGGCAATTCTGAGCAGAGGTCTGCTCACAGTCTCACAGCTATGGCCAACAAGATCCCTCCCTCACTCTTTCAGAAGCTTTGCACAGCAAATCAAAGATAAGCACTATTTTTAGGGAAAAAAACCCCACATTCTTCTGGTCCCCACGATTAATGGCACACAAACCCCAAAGTACATTCTGGTTTCTGGTTTCCTTGTGCTGCAGCAGTGACTAACAAGGCCACCACACATGGAAGCATGTGAATATTTATCACTCAGCCAAGTGACAGTTTTTGCACCCTCTCTCAGTGTTACTTCTGCACAGTGGTGGAGGTGAAAGAATCTTTGAGGAATATGACAAAGTTTTGTTAATAAATAATTATGATCAGGAAACTCTTAAGTAGCTAACATTCCCAGTTTTCTCCTTAATATAGCACATACATACACACACAAACACAAAGGACAGAGAGTTCAGAGTTCCCCCCTTGTGACTTATCTTTTATTTTTTTAGTTAAAATTGTGAAACTGAAAGCTGAGCCTGATCTTTTTCTTGAGCTGTAACTGCTTGGGACTAACTTTCCCTAGGGGATTTCTTTCTCCCTGTCCCTCATTTCCTGTATCTGATGGATGCTTATTCTACAGAGGTGTAGTAGCTCCTGTACTGAATGGTATTCACAAAAGTCACTTATGTAATTAATCAAAATTAACAAAATCAAATGTTGAAATAGAAATTTCAACTAAAAACCTTCAGGTTTGTTGGGGCACAAATGGACCCAAGTTACAAAGATATCCATCCTCCATTTCTGTGGGATCAGTGGTTCCTGAATGGGGTGAGCAGGCATTCTGCTCATCCCTGGGTATCTGCAGCATGAGCCATCACTCCTGGCTTCTCCAATCTGCCCTCGTGAGCCTTCAGTGACTCCACAGTGTCAGCTTCTAATTCTGGGCGTTGTTAAACACCTAAACTTGGCTGACATGAGCACCTTGTCACTTTTATGTATGTCAACAGCACAGACATGACTGCTGGGATAAGGACAGCGCTGTGGCCTTCTGGAAAAACACCTGAATTGAATATTTTCTGTTGGGCAAGCAATTGTGACAAGTCTATGAACAAGCAACTCAGGGTTCACCTGTTCTGAGTATGAAGAAAGCCAGACTGAGTTTGTGTACAGGTTCAGATCCATAAGAGAAGATTTCACTTGTTGTCTTTGCATGATAAGCTATGAATGATAAAAGGGGGAAAAATAATTTCTGGCTTCCAGGGATCCTACTGACATTTTTATTATCAAAAGGATTTATCAAGGCAAGTGCCTGGAGAAATAAGCAAAAGAAGTGTTCAGAGTCTTGCTTTGTAAGCAGAGAGTGTCCCTAACCCTAACCCTAACCCTAACCCTAACCCTAACCCTAACCCTGTTTGTTTTCTGTTAAAAAACCCCTAATTTCTGGCACTGTTTTCTCTTTTAGTCAGACTCCTCTATGAGTTTATGGGCTGAACACAATACAACATTTGTAATGGCTCCACCAAGGAAATGCCTCTAAACTGTTAATCAGAGCAGTGAGTTTAGACTGAAACATAGTAGAAATAAAATTCTTCCCAAGCAAGGTATTTCCCACTTGCACACACCTACCACTACAGAAATACAAAATGACAAGTGCAGAATGTGTTTACCTGACTTCAGGTGCTGGGATTCCTACCACAATGCAGTCCAATTGCACTTTGGATCCCTCAGGAACTTCCCTGCTCTTCAGTTTTTGAGTAAAGCGTGGTGGCTGTCCAAGGGGCTCATCAGAATATACAGAGGCAGATTCTGACTCTGCTTTCAGCTCTGCACTTGTTAATTGACTGAGAGATTCCAGGTTTGCTGCCTGTTGATCATCTGTTTGTTCCAAAGCTTTCTCTGCTTTGTTTTCCAAGTCTTGAGGTGTTGGAATGGAAAGCCTTTCTCTGTTTTCTGATGTAAGAGACAGGTTAGAGCTGCCTTTTTGAGCAGACTTGTTCTTGGATTCAATTTTGCTCTTGTAGTTTTTGCACGTTCGGGGCCGTATTCTTTCCGAGTTGTGGGCTTTGAAAAGTGACGAGAGCTCCTCAATGAAATCTGCTGCCTTGTTCAGGAATTCCTTTTTGGATTCTGACTCGGAAGGGAGGTGGTGTTTCTTGAGGTCTTGGGAGCTCCCTTTGGACCCCTTTGTGTTTCGGACGTGTTCCTGGCAGAAGTTGGAGTGCAGGCCATTGTCTGCCGTTTTCAGAGCCGTGGGCTGGGCCATTGGTCTGTGTTTGCCCGTGGTGTTCAGCTGCTCTGGGGGGCGCTGGGAATGGGCCTGAGGCTCATCCTGCTTCGTTTCCAGTGGGCTCTGATCAATAGCTTGTCTTGCCAGGTTTACGCTTTCATCAAGCTCTTCTTGGCTCAAAAAGGCAGACAGATCTGGGAGGTCATCTTGGGCAGCTACCTCATCTGAATCACCAGAAGCATTGCCATAGTGGAAATTATGAGAAACTGGCTCTGATCTGCTTCTTTCACTCCTCCCTTGGTGCTTGGTTTCTGCTAAATAGCTCTCTCTCAGAAGCTGAGATATTGAAGTGGAGGTTTCTAAACTGTCGTCTTGCATGCTGCCAACAAAAAGGACAAACAGGACCACGCCTTATCAATAGCAATTACTTTGATTGAACACAATGACAGGCTTCTGGAAAGCAGAACACAGCATTTTCAAACTGCACCTGTGTGCTGAATACTTGGGAGCACTTGTAGCACTTGAAGCATAAGGATGGCCTTGTGTTAAAGGCTCCTTCTGCCCTCAGCCAGCAAAGTTCATCCTTCATCACTTTCCACTGTCAGTGACCTCACATAAAACAACTGAGAGTGTGGTGTTTTCTACTCTGTTCAAGGCAAAACTTCAGCTACAGAGCTATTAACTGAGTTTCAATGTCAAATCTTCATCATTGCTGATGTGTGTTGCTCAGCTAAGAAACAATCTCACCAGATTAGATTAAATGTTGGATATTTCAGGGACTGAAAGTTGTTGAGAATAACAGTACTTAAAAGTGAAGTAAATTTAGCTTGAAAAGCAAGCACTGAAGCAGTAAGTAAATGAACCCTCAAAATCATAAGAGGGATGTGAGGAGGAAGGAAAAAGAACTAAAATATTCTATAATGACAATTTCTCGTGCATTATAGGAAGCTATAATGGTGCTAAATGTTCCACAGCTTCTTAAATTCAGCATTAATCCTAATAAGCTATTTAAAGTAAGTAGAGAACTATGCCATTATTTATTGAAAGTAAGTAGAGAACTGTGTCATTATTTGAGGCAAACATAATTTGTACTACAGGGCTTTCAGAATCATGTTCTTAGGCCATCCTGATTCTGAAAAAATGTACCACATGAGATGAGAGCATCAGGAAGCCAAACTTAACCTGCATGCCTGGTAAGCAAAGCTAAAGCATCCCCTTTGATACTTGAACAAGTGTAACTGTGAGGGGTTCTCCCTTTATTTGCATGGGCCATGGTGAGTGCAGAGGGATTCAGACACCCTGACAACACCCTCCTCTTCTGGTGCCCTAAACAGGGAGACAAAGGAGTGCTCTGTACCCCACTGAGAGAGCTGATTCCTGCCAGGTACTGAAACAAGTGCAGGACTGGCCCCTGGATCTGTCTCTCAGATTATGCAGTGCTCATGATCTCTCTGGATCTGTCTCTCAGAGTATGCAGTGCTCATTATGTCCCTGGATCTGTCTCTCAGATTATGCAGTGCTCATTATCCTCCTGGATCTGTCTCTCAGGGGTCATTATCCCCGTGGATCTGTCTCTTAGATTATGCAGTGCTCATTATCCCCCTGGATCTGTCTCTCGGATTATGCAGTGCTCATTATCCTCCTGGATCTGTCTCTCAGGGGTCATTATCCCCGTGGTTCTGTCTCTCAGATTGTGCAGTGCTCATTATCCCCCTGGATCTGTCTCTCGGATTATGCAGTGCTCATTATCTCCCTGGATCTGTCTCTCAGTGCTCATTATCCCCCTGGATCTGTCTCTCAGTGCTCATTATCTCTCTGGATCTGTCTCTCAGATTATGCAGTGCTCATTATCCCCTGGTTCTGTCTCTTAGTGCTCATTATCCCCTGGATCTGTCTCTCAGTGCTCATTATCCCCCTGGATCTGTCTCTCAGTGCTCATGATCTCCCTGGATCTGTCTCTGTCTCTTAGTTCTCATTATCCTCCTGGTTCTGTCTCTCAGTGCTCATTATCCCCTGGATCTGTCTCTCAGATTATGCAGTGCTCATTATCCCCCTGGATCTGTCTCTCAGTGCTCATTATCTCCCTCCTGCTTCATTTATGGTGTGGTAAACCTTGCTGCAGTGGTTTCAGGTGCTCCTGCCCCAAGCTGTCTGGTTTGTTACCCTGCAGAAGGTTCGGTTCTTGTCCTCAAGAGAACATCCATGCCCCAGCATTGGCTGTCTCCATTCACAGCCTTGTGTTGCAGCTGAAGTGATCAGGGAAGGGAAAGTTAAAAAGGAATTTCTGCTGGGAAAGGCTTTGGGCTTTCTAGTGGGACAGTTGTCCCTGGAAAAGGGATGCTTAAGAACAAATGATGTGGTAATGTCTCATACTGCTGCAGTTTTTCTTCCAGGAATGTGAGTGCCAGCCCTTATTCCTTATTTACAAAGGAAGGTTTCAATTTAAACTGTTTCTATTCTTCTTCAATGAATGGACACCCAGCTATCATAATCTGATGTGCATTTTGAGACCTTAATCCCTCTGCTTGAAGCAAGTTTCTTAATACTGAAATCCTCTTCCTTATGTAAATATTGTGCATTTTATATTTGTTGATTTTACTTTATTTTTATAATATTAAACAAAGAAAATCACTAAGACTACGGAGGCACCCGATCAAAATATTGCTAAGTTTGTAGCTGGAAATAAAATGCCATATAAATTGCAGGCTTTTAGCACACCATGGAGTCCCTGCACTGAGCCAGCTCTGTGATACCCACTGAACACTTGGCATTCCATTATCTGGAACAGTTTCAGTGGAGCTGTGGCACACAGAGAACACTGATTTGGGAATCCCACATGAGATAATATCATGAGCTGTTTCATGACTGCACAGAGTTTATAATTTAACTTCTTAAGAGTACAAAGAGTTCTCCATGAAGCTTAAAGCTCCTGCTCAGTGGAAAGTGCTTTTGCTTGCTCAGCTTTCCCTTGCTGGGCAGCTGTGCCCCCTCGGTGCAGCTGAACGTGTTTCAGGGGCTCTCTTTGCTTGTTTATGTGCTGATCACAGACTCTGGGCTCTAAAGGTCACTGCCAAAGCTACAGTTTCAGCTCCCAAGGACTGAAATACATTTTACCATGGGGAGTTTACAGCCTGCAGGACAGGCCTGCCCCATGAATGAAGTGCAGCCTAGAACCTCTCCACGTGAGGCTCTGGCTGAAGTAGAACATCCATCTCTTTGGAGCTTCACAGGACACAACGAGAGGCTGTGTTTTACATGGCTGGAGAAGTGTGTGTTTTACAAGGTGGCAAAATTTAGCTTGCTGCATTTCTTGGCCACTCTTTCTGCAGCATTTCAGAACTGCACATCTTCATCTCAGTGCCTGTAAAGGTCATCAGAGCTGAAAAAAGATGATGCAGATCTTTAGAGGACACTGGATGCTCTAAGGAGGGAAGGAATGGTGTGATCAAAACCTGAAGTCACATGAACTTGAAGAACTCCTTTCATGGTTTTTTCTAAAGAGTATATGAAAATTGTCTGACTGAGAGTGTTCAGGGTTTCATTTGCTCTGTTGCACAGACATAGGTGTTATTTCACAGTGCTATGTCTGTTTCAACAGAGCTTGTTAATCACAGTGGCTTTTCTGCAGGAAACCATGGTAAAGCACCTGTGTGTTCAGCATGGTTATGTGAGACTTCATCCTGGGTATGTTTGACACTTTGTTCTTGCATGTCTTCTCTTCATCTTTTGATGAATCAAAAGCATTGAAACATGAAAGAAAGAATTTCTGCTAGTTTGCTTGAGGAGTATTACTGCAACATAAGGAGCTACTCTCAAAGATGTGTTTAGATGTATTTAGGCAACATAATTTTATAATTCTAGCTTGAAAAACCCCAGTGAGAAAGCCACTGTGTGATAGCAAAGGGAGGAAAACAAACAGTTCCCCAGCAAAGGAGCTGCAACAACTTCCTTCCTTCTGCCCGTTGGAGCAGAAGAGGGAACAGGGAGCAGAGTTCTCCTTCTAGAGTTGGGGAGCAAGGTATTAATGGGAATGAATCTGATGCCAAATTCTTAATACTTAAAGGGCCATCACTTTTCTTTAGAGCTCACCCAGGCTCAGAATTTTCTATCTAACTCTTCTCTATTTTCAGCTTGTGTAGAAGATGACTTTTTATTCTATTTTTAGTAATGAAGTCTCTGGGTTCTAGTCAAATGTAGCCACTTTCAGGCAGTGCTTGTCTAGTGAAGTTTTAAAATATTTGGAATTATTTTGTATTTTTAATTTAATGGAAACTGTTAAGTTTCAGCGAGTGTTGGTTACAAGTAATGTCTCTAAACTGGTTTTATTTAGGGGAATGGGTGACTGCCACAGCAGCCTGCAGTTCTCCTCTCTGGACTGGCTCATGAGCACCAAACCACAGCACGAGGGCATCTTTGGCTTTCTGGGACACCAACTGCAGTGACCTTGGGCTCCTGCTATCCTGAAAGGCACCAGGGGATGCCACAAACAAAACTGATTCCAGGAATTTCTTCACTCTGCTAATTCAGTTTCCATTAGGCAACTAATTGAACAAGCTTTGAGTTTCCAGGAGCCTCTGCTGATGGCAATGTTCTCTTATTAGCCAAGGGATCTTTAGGATTAAATATTCACAAAGGTAGAATAAGTTTCCACAGTTTGTTTAGGCAGTGGCTTGACCTGAAAATCCTGACATGGAAGGGAGGAAATGTGTACCACAGGGGTCTTGCATAGTGTGACACCAAACACTTTCATTTCTTCTTGTCTGAGTTTTCTTAGACTCATTCCTGAGTCACCACTGAAAGAATCTGAGTTTTTCCTACAGAAATAGCACTAGTGAAATCTCAGCAAGCTTAAGGGAATCCCATATATATCTGATGTATCTCCATTCTATTTGGTGAGAACAGCTTCTAATGCTTGATGCCCTAAAGATAATTTTTCAAACTCTCCTTCTCTCTATCAGAATAAAGATGTTATTAATGAGCAGATTTGATGCAAAAAGCATTGGAACATCTTTTTGGTCTTTCAGAAGTTAAAAGGAGACATTTTGGTTGTTCCTGTCTTTTCTAGCTCCCATTCCTTCTGTTGGGAGTGCCTTTGTGTGAAACCCCAGCATCAGAGCAGCAAGCACACAAACTCCTGATTCTGACTGATTCCAATTCTGGTTCCGATTCTGATTCTGATTCTGATTCTGATTCTGATTCTGATTCTGATTCTGCTCTGCCCAGAGGCCTTTGTGCCCTTTGCACAGCAGCTCTCTGCATGCCCAGCACCTCAGTGTGCAAAGGGGAAAGTTTAGCAAATATTCTAGGTTTTTGTCTACTTCATGGTTAATTTAATTGCACATAAATTGCATTTACCCATAGAGAGCTTAACGTTTCTGGGGGTGTTGCAGCTGTATGGCTGCAGCTGTGGAAAACAAGGTAAGAGCTGACACAAGTGCTGTGCCTGCAGAGCTTGGAGGATCACAGGCTCATTCTCTGGGCCTGCAGGAATTCTCACTTAGCAGTTGCCATTGTCACCCTTTCTGTGCTGCCTGCTGACAAGCTGTGGCTGCTGCAAGACAGGCTGAGGCTCCAGACACAGGGAAGGCTGGGCTGGGGTGGAGGACTGAGGTTTTGTTTGGGGGCGTGGGTGTGAGGTATTTTTAAATGGTGTTTAGAAAGCTGTGTGCAAGATGGTGCTTTACTTTTCTGTTCTAGACACTTCAGTGGCTTTGATTTCCATTCCCTGCACTGAGTCAGATAACCAGAGTCCCAGTTTCAGTAATGCAATTAAATATGGAAAATGGGAATCTCCAGGCTCAGGAGTGTAACAACTTCTCATGGAAACAAAATCCCTCAGAAATGGGATGGGATCAATCCTCTCTCCAAGTTATTCTGCAGCAGACACTGCAGGAGCCCTGTGTGCACTTGGAGTCATGCCCTGGCCCATGACCTCACTGTACAGTATTGGACACCCTGAGCAGGAGGAAATACTCAACTCTGCTTCAAGGGAAAAGCTCATTAAGAGCTCTCTAACTTTGTCAACATTTCCTTTGTACTCTCATATAATGACAAGACCTTTGATTTTTCACTCTGATCACAAAAGATCTTCCTTATTTCATAATTAATATTGTCCCTTAGTAGTTCTCAAAATGAGAACTGAGACCCTTTATCCCATATCTCAAGTTCCTGTTTCCTCCTCAGTGAATCTCCTTGAACTGCAAGGCAAACAATATCTTGAAGAAACAACATCTCATTGATACTATTACATTTTCAGCTGATTTTTAAATTAAAAGTTCAGCAGGAAGACAGGTGATGTCTCTGAGGCCTGCCTGGAATGGTTGTCCATACTCCTTTCCCAATGCCCTGTGCAGCCAGGCCTCAGATACCAGAACAAATTCTGAGGGAACTTCAAGTGCCCTCAATGTAGGACAAGTTTTTATTGATTCAAGTAATGTGTATAGTCCTCTTTCCTTCAAGGATTGCCCATATGAGAAAGTTCATATGCAAGGCCAAAAGAGTTGCAGCAGAGATCCACAATTTGATGCTGAATGTACATATGGAAATCCTCAATGAAAATACAACTAGCAGGTAACAATACTCATTTATCCTGGTTCAAACACACACACACACACCACTCTGCTGGACTGCAAATGCATTTTCATGGATTGTGAGCCAAATGATCTGAACTGAGCCGTGTCTGTGGTCCTGCTGGCAGTGTGTGGGAGCAGAGCAGAAATCCACATCTGCACGTGGCTGAGGTTTCAGCTTGGGACTGAACTCCAGCTTAGCTCCAGTGTTCAAAGGCTCAGCCTGGACTGACACATCCCAGCCCTGCCCTGGCGCTGCCATGGGAGTTTGCACAGCCCAAAAGCTGAGCAGCAGTCTCTGTTGTCCCCTGTGTGTGAGTGGCACCAGTGCCAGGGACACACACGAGCGCTGCTGGCTGCAGCCCTGCCAGTGTGTGCACCCTGAAAATGCAGGGCTGTGAAAGAACATGGCATCTGCACATCTCTTTGGCTGCACATCCCAAACCCATGGGCTGGTTGGTTTTAAAATGAGAGTCAGTTTTCCTACAGATACAGGTTCCCGGTGGAAAAGGGAACTTCAGTGTTAAATGAGACACAAAAGCAGTCTAGATTGTGTTTTTCTCCTCAGGTTTTTCAGTTGTGCCTTTCTTGTCTCTCAGTCTCACTATATTTCTTTCTGTCCACTGTTCTTTTTTACGTTTTTTCAATGGCCTTCCCTAAGAACATTGTAACATAAAAGCCTTCATATTTTAGTCATATTTTCAAACTGCAATGTTTAAATGAGGCTAATATTCTACAGGAATTATTTGCCCATTCTTGTTTATGAAAACAAACAGGAATCCAGTTAAGCTTTAAACTGAAAAGTAAACTGAATTTTTTTTCTTTCCTCCCTCACCCTGTGGTTTAGGTTACAATTGAGGTTGCATTGCCCAATTACCTTTATGGTACTGTGTGTATTTTTGACAAATTATCTTAATGTTGTGTTTATGTGCAAATATGCCTTGACTACTAATAGTTATCAGCTGTGGATAGAAAAAGATTCCTTCAGTACCACAGCAAGACCTGCTGTAAAATCTCTAAAGAATGCACAGGAATAAAAACCAGCACAGATCACACAGTTCCCCTTTGTGCTGGGTACTCTGCCATGTACAAGACCTATCTCCTGAATTGACCATAAATATTCTTCGATATGTAAATATTATTCTGCTCAGCTACAGGAACTACCATGCTATTGCTGTTTAATTTTGTTAGCTGTTTCTGAAAGTAAAAATAAAAATAAAGACAGACAAAACCAAAGAAATATCCTGACCTTAGGAACCTTCAGGAGGTGTAGGAGAGGGAGAAGAGCAGAGCAGTGTTCCATTAACACTTGCTGATTTTGTTTTCACTCTTAAACTCTAGAGCATCTTCACAAATGTAAACCTCACAACTGAAACAAAGCTGCTGATGAAGTAATCAGTGTCTTTAGCATGATTTCTATAATGTTCTGTTAACTTATGCTCGGGAGCTACTCTGTTCTCTTGTCAATTGTTGATGTATTATTTGGTAACTTAACATGGGCTTCTGATTACTGCTTAATGTTGCAATATATTGGGCCAAACATTTGCTACTGACAGTCAAATACTTTTCTGAGAGAGAGAAAGAGAGCATAGGAGATAGTGAGCTCAAGGGTGAGAGCTATGCCCTTCTAGCAGGACTGTTTCTGCAGCTGTTGTGTACATTAATCCAGAGAGCAGATCTCCCCGCACTAAATATAGCCACGGGGGTCATTTTACATGACAGAATAAATAATTAAATAAATAGAAAGCATTTAACTATGGGGGTCACATTAAATTAGGTTGGATTTTGCTTAAGAAGAACTACCAAATGGTGGCAGCTTGGTTTAAGGCTGAGTACAAGAATGTGAATATTTCACTCCTCCATTATTATTCCATGAGGGGAAGATGGGCAGGAAGAGGAAAGAGTCCCGGCAAGGAACTTTTCAGGTCATTAGAGTCTCGTTGACTCTTCAGAGGAGTCAGACTGGCTCCGAGGGATTTGAGAACCCCACCACTGCTATTCAGGTCCTTTATAATGCTGCAGAACACAGTTTCCCTTTCCCTGCAATGCACATACCTCAGCATAATCTACGTCAGTTTAAAACGTACTTGTTCCCTGTATATGCCTTACCAGCTATAATTAGCATTCAAATATACATGCTTATCAAACCCTGCTGCTACACTCTGCAAAATCGAAATGCAGACCAGTCTGAAATGGAGGGATTACCTTTTTCAATTGCTCCAGGTGTTGCTGCCCAGCGTGGCAGTGAGTAGCGCCGAGAGTTATCCAGAAGTGCGAGGCTAAAGTTAAGGCAGCGAGGGGATTCTCGAGTCCTCAGGAACAGAAAGAGTTAGGAGTCCATCCAGTGAGGGAAGTTAACCTTGGTTATTGTGAGGATGGCTGTGAGGAGCTGGACAACCTGTCACCACCGGAGCAGCAGCATTTGTCAGTGTGCAGGTCCCAAGTTATTTTGAGCAGCGTGAACCATGTGCCCGCGGAGCATTCCACCTCATTGGACAGGGAATCCACTGCTCCCACAGCACCTTGGGCACCCACTGCCCTCTCCCCACTCACACAACAGCCCCTATGGATGCAAGTGTGGGTTTTGCTGATTCATCCAAGAGCCTCTGGAGTGGCATTGGATCACTCTTGGCAGCTGCTGTGCACTTCAGCCTTTTCAGAGTGCTTGTTATCGCTCTTTCGTTACATTTCCATCAGAACTCAGGGAAACCCATCAGCTGGTAACAACATAAACGTTTTGCAATTCCAAAGGCAAACCTAGCAAACGTGTAATTTAAATAGTAAAATATTCCTGACTTGTATGGAGTGTTCAGTTCAATAAACACAGTGAACAGTGCAGAAATCCTTCAGGATGACCCATAACTACAGATCCTCAAAGGGCTAGAACTTCTACATCTGTTACTGAAGGCACAGAAATGAGCTGTTGGAGGGAAAGCAATTCAAAGAGGCAATCAAAACTAAGCTCTAAATGAAACGGAGGAAGAAACATAGGTGGGATAACTTCAACATACTTGAACCAGTACACAGAGAAACCCTGTTACTATATAGAATTTCATTGCTTAAAACCTTCACTGGGCCAAAACCTACAACACCACTTGGTGAACACAGAGATGAGATTTTCATTTCTACTCTTCCTACACACAAGCAACAAAAAGTGGCCCGCAATCTTAAACAGTTCATCATGCTGCTCAATTGTTGATATTTTATTAAAAATGCTTTTCACAATTCTGATTTTAAAAGATTACTAAAACATTATGCATTTATGATGGGGATTTGATATATAAGCCTTTTCATAGCAAATGATGTAAGAGCTGACTTCTTGACCTTCTCCCAGACCTCTCAAAACATTTTCAAGTGAGCACCTGCGCTACAAAAGGAGTTCATCTGTGGAATGCAGTTCTTCAGAATGCTATTTTCTGAGTTGTAACAGTATGGAAAGTCAGAGGGAAAGGCAATTCTTTCATGTAAAACTTCCTGATGCATTGCAGATACTTTTCTATTATTTCCCTCTCTTTTTGTAAAACATTGTTGTGGTTTAACCCCAGCTGGTATACAAAGGCCCACACAGGGGCTCACCCCCAACCCCTGGCAGGAGGGGAGAGAATTGGAAGAGTTAAAGTGAGGGAACCTATGGACTCAGATAAAGGCAGTTTAATAAATGAAACTTAATAAAAGAAGTTGTGCACACAAGCAAATAAAAGCAAGGATTTCACATAGAATCACAGAGTAGGCTGAGTTGGAAGGGACTGATAAAGATCATCAAGTCCAGTTCCTGATCCTGCTCATGACCATCCCCAAGAGTCATGTGCCTGATAGCATTGTCCAAACCCTCCTTGAGGGTCTGTCAGGCTTGGGGCTCTGCCCATTTCCCTGGGGATCCTGTTCCAGTGCCTAGCCACCCTCCGGGTCATGAACCTTTTCCTAAAATCCACCCTGGCACAGCTTCAGGCGATGCACCCAGGTCATCACAGAGGAAAGATGCTTGCCCTGTCCCAGGTGCAGAATCCAGCACTTTCCCTGTTGAACTTCATATGGTTGATGCTTGCCCAGTCCTCTAACCTGTCGAGGTCTCTCTCAAGGTCTCCCTGCCTTCAGCAGAGTCAGCAGCCTCTCCCAGCTCTGGATCATCTGTGAACTTGCTCAGTGTCCCTCCCAGTCCTGTGTCCAAGACATTTATGAAGATGTTGAAGAGCACAGGGCTGAGGATGGAGCCCTGTGGAACCCCACTAGTGACAGGTCACCAGTCTGATGTCACCCTTCACTGTCACCCATGAGCCAGTTGTTCACCCATCCCATAATGCGTTTGTGGGATGGACCTTTTGTCCAGAAGAATCCCAGAAGAGACAGTGCCAAAATTTCAGATTTATTGAAATCCAGAAAGATTACATCAACAGGCTTCCCTTGATCACTTGGTGAGCTATCTTGTCCTAAAAGGAAATCAGATTTGATGAGCAGGACTTGTCTCTCATGAAGCTGTGCTGGCTGTGACCAATGACTGCATTCTTTCAGGTGTTTTCAATGCCTCCCAGAATATCTTCTCCATGACACTGCCAGGCACTGAAGTGACACTGACAGGTTTAATTTCCAGGGTCCTCTTTCTTGCCCTTCTTGAAAACTGGGACGACATTTGCCAGCTTCCAGTTACCTGGGATTCCCAACAGAGCTCATAAATCAGGGAGAGACTTTGAGATGACATCATCAGTTCTGTGTGGATTCGTGGATGGGGCCCATCAGGTCCCATGGATGTGTAGGGATCCAACTGGAGCAGCAGATCCTGCACACTGTCAGAGTTAGCTGGGAACTGATCATTGTCTCAGTCATGGTCCTGCAGCTCAAGGCACTGAGACCCCCTTGGCCCATCATCCATGGAAATGAGGAAATGAGTGCATTAAACAGCCCTGCCCTGTCCGTGTCCCTGTTTGTGAGGTGACCATCCTGGAATGGCTGGTGTTATTTCTACATTGCCTCCTGCCATTATTATATTTGAAAAAACTCCTTTGTATTGTCCCCTAGAGTTCTGTCAGCTTCAACTCTAGCTGAGCTTTGGCCTCATGAATTTTATCCCTACAGTTGCAAGCAGCATATCTGGGTTCTTCCCATGTCTGCTGGCCTTGCTTCCACTGGGCATACACTTTCCTTTTTTGCCTTATTTCTGAGAGATGATTCCTGTTCAGCCAAGCTGGCCTTCCCCCTCACCAGCCTAGCTTCCAGCATTTGGGAGCTGCTGCTCCTGTGCACTTTGGGGTGATGTTTAAAAAGCAATCAGCACAGATCAACCCCAGCACCTGCACAAATATATTCCATGGGGACCTTGCTTCCTAACCCCCTGAACAGCCTGAAGTCTGCTCTCCTCATGCTAGAGCTGGAGTTCTGCTGGCACTTTCCCTCCTGTCAGCAGAGATTTTAAACTCAATCACTTTATGGTCACTGTGGCCAAGACAGCCCCAATCCCCACTTTGCTCACAAGATCCTCTCTGTTGACAAACAGCAGGTCAATGAGGGGATCTTTCCAAGTCAACTCCCTCAGGACCTGTTCCACGAAGTTGTCATCCGGGATTTTTTAGGAATTTTCTGGCCCAGGCTGTACCAGTTAATTTCTGGCAAGTGGAAGTCCCCCTTAAGGCCACAGGCAGTTGATTTGGAAGTGTCCCTTGGATGCTCAAAGGAAAGTTTGTCACTGTCATTGTCCTGCATAGGTCTATAGGAGACTCCCAGGATGACATCTCTGTCACTTGTTTGCCTCTCAATTTTATCCAGAGGCTCTCAGCTGTGCCCTTGCCAGCTGTGAGCTCCGTGCATTCCAACCCTTCTGTTCCATACAGTGCCTCTTCTGCCCTGCCTCTCCCACCTGAAGAGCCTGCAACCATCCAACAGGGAATTCCAGGCACAAGACTCATCACACCAGCTTTCACCCATACAATGATGTCAAGCTCTGGGGCAGGGCCAAAGCCTGGAGCTGCTCCTGCTTGCTCCTGGCACTGTGTGCATTAGTGTGGAAACATTTTAGGTGTGGTGCTTTGTAGCCAACACCTTGTGAAGCAGATTGAGGGATCTGTGAGTGCTCATTTCCTCCAGTTTTGGCACAGCATCCCATCCCTCCCTTGTGCTACCAATGCCCAACACCCTGTGCCACCAACGCCCTGTGCTACCACTGCCCAAACCATCCCTGTGCTACCAACACCCAAACCATCCCTGTGCTACTAACACCCAAACCATCCCTGTGCTACCAACACCCAAACCATCCCTGTGCTACCAACACCCAAACCATCCCTGTGCTACCAACACCCAAACCATCCCTGTGCTACCACTGCCCAAACCATCCCTGTGCTACCACCACCCAAACCATCCCTGTGCCACCAGTGCCCAAACCATCCCTGTGCTACCACTGCCCAAACCATCCCTGTGCCACCAATGCCCAAAACATCCCTGTGCCACCAATGCCCAAACCATCCCTGTGCCACCAACACCCAAACCATCCCTGTGCTACCAACACTGCTTCCAGCACAAATCCAAAGCACAGCCACCATGGAAAGCACCTGAATTCTACCCCAGCAAAAACCAGCACAAATTCCTTTGTCAGAATACCTTAGAGCATGAGTTTGTGGTGAAGATAGGGAAAGGCTGTGCAGTGAAGCCAGCCCTTCTTTTTGGCACAGGTGAGGCATTTTATGGATTGGGTGGTGTGTGATGTGACTTTATATTGGGAATAGAGATCTAAGATATTCTTTATAATATCTGTAACAGCAGATGTGAGCCGTACAGTGCTGCAGGAACTGCCTGTTGATACTGTACCCTGTGCTGCTGTGGTTTGGACAGTGTCTGTACCAAGTCTGCAGCTTGATAATGAAGTCTGATGTGTCTGGTAATAATTGTAAATCTATGGGGAGTTCTGCTGAGATGCAATTATTTACCATGGAGTCTTGCTGTCATTGTGCTGTTTGTGAATTGCTGTTTGTGCATGATAAGCAAAATTATTCAAGCTGATCAAAAAAAGCAAAAAGCTTCCACTTTAAGACAGGGTTTAAGATGCTAGAATTGCAAAATCATTGGATAATCTGACAGGAAAAAAGCTCAGGGTTATGTAGAAAGTACAGCATTGAGAAACCACAAAAAGTTATGAGCCTTTGCTGTGGCAGACAGACCATTGTAATAGCAGATGGTACAAGGCCAAAAATTCCAGGAACCACAAAAAGTTGGAGCCTACACAATGCGCCAGGTCTTGCAGAGCTGGCATTTTGATAGAGCAACACCAGAGAATTTCAGATTCACTAGTTTGTAACAGTCTAAAGCCCATGAAAATACTGTGGCTCCTCTGCATCTATAGAATAAAAATGAAACCAGACTTTTGCCTACTGAGCACTGAAGAAAGCACTTCAAAATACGATGACCTCCAGCTTTATGTCCCTTTGTCTTTGCTGGCTGGCACAAGAATGAGGCATAGTGTCCTAGAATAAATTACTGAGCACTATTTCTCTCCAGATCTTGGCTGCCAAAGCCCAAACTACCTTCACAAGCTCAAACAAGACTCACAAGAAGTGAGTTTAAAATGGAACTTTTAACATGACTGGTGGGCTGTTATTCCTCAGCAGGATTATCTGACTGTGTTTGTCAACCTGAGGGTTTATCATAAATGGAAAATTCTTGATTTTCTAGATATTAGGATGAAATTAATACTGTTCTGTTAATGGCATGTCTTAGGGTGTGACCATTCTGCTGGGCAAGGATGAATGTTCACTTTGCCTTTTGCTGGACTAGGCTGTTCCAGAGGCAGTGAATTAATTGCTCCCTACCTGTGCAGCTTTGGGCAAGAGCAGCTGTGGCTTTTCCTGGAGCATCAGTGAGTGTTGCTGCTTTAATAACTACAGT